AGTAAAGCGGTGGTATCTGTAGTAAAGCAGTAGTATCTGTAGTAAAGCAGTAGTATCTGTAGTAAAGCAGTGGTATCTGCAGTAAAGCAGTAGTATCTGTAGTAAAGCAGTGGTATCTGCAGTAAAGCGGTGGTATCTGTAGTAAAGCAGTAGTATCTGCAGTAAAGCAGTGGTATCTGTAGTAAAGCAGTGGCATCTACAGTAAACTCACGCAGACAGTCGTTGGGGCTGTCGGCGGTCGCTCTCCTCCACGGCCGGTCGTTGTAGAACGGTTTGCAGACGTTGCAGTCGTCGCCGTCCGTGTTGTGTTTGCAGTTACACACCAGCCGTCCTCCGCTGTTCTTCACACACTCGCTGGCATGACCGTTACACTTACACCTGACGGCACAAAAACACACCTGTTACACCTGCACAACACACACTGCAACAACATCCATGATTCTGTGAGACCGTCGTCAGCTGCTGTTACCTCGGCTAACGTCCACCTCTTTACTAACAACGGGAGACGACACAAAGCTCTCCACATCTCCTTAAAAACTCCTCCGACTGATATTATATGTCTGAAAACAGACAGAACTTTCCATCTGAGAACTTTTTCCACTCCGTGGCTCAGAGTGAAGGTTTTGTTAAACCTCCTCGGGGGGGAAGAGCCCCTCACAACACGACAGGACTTGATCAGCAGCCACCTTTGCTTATTGTCTCAGGTGTTTCTTGGCAGAGAGTGGTGGAAAGACTGACAACAAGAAGGAAGACTGGAGTACTAAAGAGGCTATTGACACCATACTTTAACAACTGTATACATACATATATACAAATACATGTATATGTAGCTGTAAATATAAGTATCTACAAGGAGATTTATCAAGGAGAGTTTCACGTCCATCACAGGGTGCAAGTCTGGAAATGTTGGAATAATTGAGCGGAATCCTAAAGCAGGAAGCCTGGATACATCTGATTGGTTGTGGGGATATCTGTGCCACTGGGCTGCTCTGATTGGCTGAGGGGATATCTGTGCCACTGGGCTGCTCTGATTGGTTGAGGGGATATCTGTGCCACTGGGCTGCTCTGATTGGCTGAGGGGATATCTGTGCCACTGGGCTGCTCTGATTGGCTGAGGGGATATCTGTGCCACTGGGCTGCTCTGATTGGTTGAGGGGATATCTTTGCCACTGGGCTGCTCTGATTGGCTGAGGCACTCGGCCCTCAGGTGAACACGTTCAGGTAGATCCCGGTGGAGCTGACAGAGAGACCCCTCTTTGGGTAAATAAAGGTTAGATTCTGCAGCTCTGGCAGGTGCTCCAGCTCAGGACTCTTCCCTTTTTCTTCCGCCCGTCACGGCGGTCGGTCCGCCCCATTCCGGTTCCCTTGTAATCCAGCCCTGCCGGCCAGGAATGCCAGGAATGCTGGCTGTGTAATGGAAATCTGCTCCACATTTCAAACAGATTATGTCTGTGGAGGCTGTGCAACGCGGCCTGTTTAACACTCTGGTAATGCTGTCGAAACCTTTATTCTCTTTTATTTAGACGTGCAGGAAAAGGAGTTCTGATGTGGATTCCTGTGGAGGCCGCGGGGACGCAGACCACACAGTCACACATCAAGACCAGGACCCACAGAACCCCCTGACCGCATTCAAGTCATTCAGTCACGCCTCCTTTCTCTGAGCAGGTTTCATGAAGCTCAGGCTGCTGAAACGTGTTCACACTCTCATGCAAACAAGATAAAGAAGTACTCAATGTGTCACTGTGACTACATGCATCACGGAGCTGCAGAATGAATCAGAATATGAACGAAATCAGTCCTGTTATGTTCTCACGAGAGCTACAACCTCCAGTGTGTGCCTCTGTCCTTTACCTTCCCCCCACAGCGAAGTCAGAGATGGCGTAGTAGTAGGACTTGAGGACCTTGGGGTCATTGAAAACCTCGTCTCCGAACGTGTTGAGCCGGTTCAGGGTCACTCTGATGTCGGTGGCCGTCACCCAGTCCTGTAGAAGACACAACATGGACGCAGCGTTAAGACATCGGGCCTGTCAGCAACAACACACAAGATAAAGGAGGCGAGGATAAAGACCGTCTTTAGGTCTGCAGGTCATAAAGTAAAGACACATGAACATGTTGACCTGATGGCGGCGCTAGTGCAATGAGTCAGGCAGCCGAGGCAGACACAGATGTGTAGAAACATTCTTATGGAATGCAAGTTCCTTGAATCGCTAAAAAACTTGGATCCCGATTCCTCAAGCAGGGATGTGGTTTTTAGTTCCCAGGCTGTGGGAAACACCAGAAACACTGGGAAACACTGAGAAACACTGACGCAACACCAGAAACACTCCCCACTGTGACATCTTTAAGTGAAATGGAATTTATCTTCTTGGCGTTATGCTACGAGAGCCAGATGGAGAGAATCACTGACGGACAGCTGTTTCAGTGACGGAGGATAAAGAACGTTGCTCAACATCCCATCTGTGTTGCACAGGCTCATGGGAAACCAGTGAAGACCGGAGATAGCTGTGTTCCCCATCAGCAGGAAGCTTATCAGCTCTGCATTCAGCAGAGTGAGCACTCGCAGCAGCTGCTGGAGGACAAACACACATCTGAAGCTTCCTCAGCGCTTGTTTCTGCTCTCAGGAAACACGTAGAAACGTTTCTCCATATCTGATATGAACTGTCCACCAATAAATTACTTCCTACCTATGACTTCCTTCCTACCCGTGACTTCCTTCCTTCGACTTCCTTCCTACCTGTGACTTCCTTCCTTCCTGTGACTTCCTTCCTATGACTTCCTTC